TTAGATGCACGAGTGCTCGGCTCAATACCTCTAAATAGCTTGATTAGTGAGGGATTTAAAAGCTGAAGTATTAGAGTTTCTTCAATTGAAAGCTCGTTTGAGAGGAATCGGTGATATTTTCAGAGAATTGACTCGGTAAAAAGAAGCAGATTTAAAGTCAAATTGAAAATGAAACTGAAGATATGGGCTTCAAAGTTTTCCTCCTATGATATTTACTACGAGGAAAAAATGATTCACGAATTTTTACAAATCACATTTCTTCTACTGGTTTTGACCTTTTTGATTAGATAATAACAATTTGGCTGGAAATGGAAAAGGAGAAGATCGTGCGTAACATAATAAAATAATTGCGGAGAGTATAGAGCAAAAAATTGACATCGAACAAAATCAGTTAGGTACACAGTCGTATAATTTTCGGAAAAAGTAATGTTTAAAGTGATGTTTATGGATAATTCTATGAATGCTGTGCATTTTGTACAAAGTTTCAAAGGTATTTTTTTTCGAAATTTTTAAGTAGGGAATTTATTTTACAATAAAAGAGCGAGAGGAATAGAGAAAATTTGAAAGAAGACCAATTGGTTTGCTTTTCATTTTATCATAAAAAATACGAGGAAAAATCGTAAAACTCAGACACGTGCATTTTAATTAGCTGAATATGTTTCAAGACACGCGAGAGTGAACTTTCAGTGGCCTCGAAAGTGTCTCTAAATCGCAAGTTTAATTTGTGTGAGTTTATAAAAAAGGAACAAAAAATTAGCAGCTTGAACTTCAAATAATTTTTATGAATCATTTTTCTAAGGAAGTTTTCGTTCCAAGAATATGTGCTAACTATCGATGATTTTTCTTGTATTCATTTTTTGACTCTGAACTACCACAAAAACCTTCCACAGTGATATTTGTGGGTTTGTAACTGAGATCCAATCCCCCCACGGTCATGTTAATTAAATACTCAATTCTTTAATGAATTCAAACAACTATGCGTCAAACGAAAGGGAACATAATTTTTATAGATAGACCGGATTTTAAATTAGACTTGAATATTAAGATCCGTCTGATTTTTTGCACGACAGGAAGTGCCTTTTTTCCTGTTCGGTGTAAACAATTTTTCATAACAAAGGATCTATGTTTCGACTATTTGAAAAAAACTTCTTTGCAGATGTGAATGAACTTGCAGTTTAATGACTCATCTCATGAATTTTAAAACTGGACGTCATCCATTGAATAATCAAAAATTCAATACGTATTTATTCGCTTGCAAAATGTTTACGTCTCCTGAATCAGGGCGAATGTACTACCGTGCATTGTGCATCATTTATAGGGGCTTGAAAGGCTGTTGAAAACTAATATTTGCTCGGAGTGTAATGACCGTTCATTTTTTGATGAATTATAATGAGATTGCACGAGAGAAGGAAGACTTTTCGTCTGATACTTTATTAATACACATTTTTCTTGAAAATCACGCAAGGATCATAGCGTGAAATATATCTGGCGGAATAAAATATCCTACAATCAGTTTTCATTTAGTTGACCTCATGTAAAGAAATTATCCATAGATTATTGTTCGTAAGTGTTATGTGTATGAATTGTTCCTGAAATTCTAATGATCAGAACATTGGTTCTGCAATAAAGTGTGTATTTCCCAAAATTATCGCGTTCACTTCTCAAAAGCAAAGGACAGTGTGGTAGAAAGGGCCAAATATTTTGCTAATCAAAAGACGATTTTCCTGTGCTGATTTTAAATCCCCCCCCCCCACAATCGCCCTCATCTTACAAATATAGTATTTAATGGTCATAACTTTTTAATTTCTTTAAAAAGAATGCGGAAGAAGATAGCTCTCTCCCAATGCCGATTAGTTATTGAGGCCGAGCCAAGTCTTCAAAAGCGGAACGAAAATCGCGGTAGGCTGATTTTTGGAGGAAAATTATGCAAATAATGCCATAATTTATTAGGTCAATTTCATTGAGAGCTTCAATGATTTTTTCCCCTATGGGACCAGACCTTATGCTGAATGAAAACTAATGTGGACCTTGCCAATCCGAAATGGAGCCGAATTAATGATTAGAGAAAGCTTTTCTAGATTGAGAGAGGATATGCTAATAATAATAATTATGGGCCGTGGTCATCCGCAAATAAGGGGCCCCAATCGATAAATTATCTCTGATCAGTATTCCTCTAAGTGTGGATTCGAGCTCATAATCATACCTACGTGGTATTTCTTTGATACAGGGTTGTAACCGATCACCACCTGGGAATTATGATTCGGATGGGTTCTGATCTTCCGGAGGATGGGTCGATGTCCGCGAATATTGAGACCAATGAAATATTAATCAGTTGAGTCGATAGTTCTTTGATTGATTCAGGGTTCGTGTGTTGTGCGGAATATCTTTGCTTCAATGCGATCACCCACGGGAAAAAATACCTCAGCCCACTTGACAAAATTTCCCGTAGAAAGATTTTTGTCGTGTTCTGATCATCTAATTTCCGTCAAAAACTCTTTTTGACGTCCTGAAGAATAATAATATCGAGCAGTTTCGTTCATTTTTTTGCCGGAGGAGGACATGCAAGATTTGGTACTTACAGGCGCTGAACATGAAAGATAATAATTTTAAATTGATTTAATTGGGAATGACGTTTTACTAACTGCAAAATTGAAGCCGTCATAATTTTGGTCCAGTTCGATGTTGTGTTTAGGGGTTTTGTCGCAAAATTTCCTAAAAAAACTCCACCATGCTTATTGTTGCAGTATCAAATACTCAAATCTTGATTTTTTGCGGACTGAAAACCCTTATTCTATGGCCGGTCCCATCTGCCTGCTATCAGAAATTTAGGGTACAGCGCAATACTGTCAATAATATGACATTTCGGTGGTTTCGAGAAAAACGTGCTTGCAGAAAGAAGCTCCATGGCTACTAACGACCCGAGAAGGCCGAAATGATGATTATTTGATAAAACTTTGTTGTTCCATCTTTTATATTTTCGCTCAATTTTTTAAAACTTGCAAATGCTCGATAGATTCTGATGGGGAAAAAACTATTTAAGTTTGCAACGTTCGGTTAAGTTTGCGAGGCTCGCCATAGATAACAAGAAGAAGTTAAAGGCTGGAAAATTCAAAACGCCTTCATTTTTGTGTGTATGCAACACGGCCATCTATTGAGTACGAATAGTTGTATTCGGGAGTTGTCATCAATGTTGTTTGGGAATCTCAGCACTAAGGAACGCCTTCATTTTTGTGTGGATGCATCACGGAGACCCTTTGACCACGAATAGTTGCATCCAAGGGAAAAAATTAACGTCGTGTTACGTGTGCTAGCGCAAACTGTAACCAAGGACGCCGTACCTTATTTTCATGTTTCTATGAAATAGGACGTTCCTGTTTGTTTTTTCACACAAGAATACTGTCGCATGACAATTTTAAGAACACAATACATTTTAAAAATTACTATGAAGAAAAACCGCACTGAAATAAACTAAATCTCATTAAGTAAACCAGGCAAGATCGTTTATAATAGAAATTTTCTCAGTGGAATCTCATTTAAAATGTTTAAATGTCAAGATTGAATGATTTATTGTTAAAGATGGGAGGGTGTGGACGAAATTTTAAAATTATGAATTCATGTCGTTTTTTTCAACCGTCGACAATATCTGCTAAAAAATTCTGTCACCTACCCCTGAGTTTTTTTTCAATTGACGCCATGTAAATGTAAATCTTTGCGATATAGCCTCCGCCTATTTTATAAATTTAAATCGAAACGTCCGCTTTTAATAAAAGATCTTCCTGTCAAATTTTGCACTAATGTCGAGTTGGGCGGTGCTGTCATCTAAATGTTAAATAAGGTCTAAATTGGGGTTTTCAATTGTTAAATCCATTTTTTATGAAAGTATTCACAAATGAATTTTTAAATTTTGTAATTTAAGAAACGATTTACAATTCAAAGTGAGCATTTTTTTAGTAATCTGGTCAATTTTAATTTTTTTTTTATCAGAAGATTTTGCGTTTAAAAGTTTAGCTAACGCAGATTTTCCACAAAATTAAAGCTATTATAGAATTAGTTGTTTAAAGATCTCTCACCACAGAATGGCAAAGAAAAGTTAGTCAATTCGAGACTGTTTGCAACAACCTTGGTTTAAGCATCAAATTTTTCGGAAAACAATTTTAGTCTTATCGGATGGAAAAATTGGAATTTCAGTTTTGGATGGAAAAAATTCTCCAGCAGTCTGAAAATTAGTCACGGGTACGTAAGTTTGTTTCCGTGTCAACAGAGGGCATACCATTGCATTTTAATCCGACGATTTTGGGCCTTGGTTTGGCAAATTTACCTAAATTAATAAAATTACAAAAAATAATACTTTGTTCGGTTTTTCTTGTATCAAAATTCTTGCCAAACGCTCCTGCAGGCAGTTGTACCCAGATGTCAATCTTGCATTAATTTAAAATAAAAGTCATTTCCCCCCGTCAAATTCTGAAAAAAAGGATCCCTTCAGAAAAATCTTCGGCCGATGGTAGTGACATTCCTGATGGAATGGAAGCTATCCTCTCTCCCAAACCGCAGTAAAAATTGACATACTTTGAAAATTTCACGCAAAATATTTCCCACAGCGTTTTGGAAAATTATTTTTATAGATGTTTTCAAAACACTGCCACTATACCTCCTAGTGATTGTTCTAACTTTGTCTGGATGTTACCGAAATATCTTCAAAATATTCAAGTTTTTCCCCCTCTTGAATGTTTTTTTTCTAATTTTCACTGGTTTTGGAAAAATTTTGATAAAAAATTTTGAGGACCCCCCCCCAAAAAAAATATATATATACATATATTTTGAGAATATGTTACTCTCCGATTTTCAAATCCTTTTAAAATATTTCTAAAATATAATTATATCATAAAATTTTCGGAAAATACTTTGTAAATATTTTCCAAAAAATTATGCTCCCTTTATAAATCCCTCCCACCCTGGAAACACCTCTTAAGCACAAAATTAATGGACGAAAATGATCCTACCGAAGAGGGCAGTGGAGGGTCGCGGGTAACCTTAATCCTTGAGCACGTGCGTGGGTGTTGGTAATCCTATCAGAAGTGGCACTTGACACGCGCGCCCGTCACCAAATCAGAAACAACACGCCGGCATGGAGTCGCACAAACCAGACTGACCACCTAACTGATTCCTCTCGCCCGCGCGGCGCTCAGGCCGGGGTTTTTTCGCCATTTTTTTATGAATGGACCTGACGTAAGCTACACGTTACATTTTAGCCGGCCGGGCCGGGGGCTGCCCCCTCGAGGGGGGCGCGGCGGGGGGCAGATGATCCCGCGCGTTTATCGATTAGCGATCTGTAACTCGGTTAATTGCTTGTCGCACCTTGATGTCATATTGCTCGTTCAATCCGTCGCGATCGCTTTTCAAGCTCTGAGCGAAAGTTCCCCATGCCTACATTTATTTGGACGTATTTCTGCCAAACAGAACTATGTGCATTAAGATATGAGCCCTGAGACCTATAAGAATGCATGCGCAACAGGGTTCACGTCATAATGCACATAATTCCGTTTGACAGAAATACGTCCATTTAAAAGTAGCCGTGCTTGATATAGCTTACCTATTCCTTAGGAAAGTCCAAATAATTACCTCGTGGGGCTAAAAAACTACGTATCTTAGTTTGCGACTTAGCAGACTTCCTGTCACATTTCGTCTCTTGGAAAGAAGGCTGATCTTTTTTTTGACATTTTTTTTTAAATATTCATTTGATCTTTCAAAAATATTTTCTGATAATTTCGTACAAACTTGACCTGAAATATTATTTTGCAATTATGGAGAAGGAGAGGGAATTTTGAAAAATACGGCAATCGAGATCCATATTGCCGTGGTTCCATTACCAATATGTTTCATACTTTACAAAGTAATGTAAAATACCGTATAGTGTGCTACTTAAATAGATAGTCAGTTGATTTAATACAATGATCAGCAACTATGGTTATTTACGTCTGAGTCCAGGAACTTATCTTAAATATTGATATTTACTTGTTAAAAGAGCTATAAAATTTCGGTATTGACTTTCGGGCCATCAGAGCTTGAAGGATGGGTGTTTGGAGAGAGGATGACGTATGGAAACTAGGAAATCCATCTCTGATTGACTCAGCCATGCTTCGGCTCTAAAAAAAGGGGGAGGGGGAATGGCGGAAGCTGCAAGGGTATGATTTCTTTCTAAAAATGTGGGTTTGTTTACTTATGCTGCCGAACAATCCACTTCCACTCAAGCTCAAGTGACGTGGTCGAACTGGCATGCGATATATCGCATCTTTCAGGTCAAAAATCTCGGCAGATTTTGAATTTTCAGCAAAAAAAAGGATGATAGCCCCTGCGCATGAGCTTAAAGAATCATTCTAACCCAAAAATCGGAAAAATTCAGAGAAATGAAAGCAGGATAGTGTTTGGAAAAAAACCTCGCATTCGATTCAGCTATCGATTTCTGTATCGAGTACGAGGTTTTTTTCCAAACACTATTCTGCTTTCATTTCTCTAATTTTTTTCGATTTTTGGGTTTAGAATGATTCTTCCGGCTCATGCGCAGGGGCTATCGTCCTTTTTTTCGCTGAAAATTCAAAATCTGCCGAGATTTTTGACCTAACAGATGCGATATATCGCATGCCAGTTCGACCACGTCACTTGAGCTTGACGAATCACCTAAATTAACACACAGACAGATGTATTCACTGACAGTAAAGACCAATTTGAAGCACGGTGTGAAATTTAAAATCTATTCTTGTGAGGAAGCCTAATATTCTTTATTTACTCGCTGAAAGTTGCAACTTGGCAAGCGATGAGCTTGCGCGCCTCTGGAGCGGTTCGCGTGGTTTCGCGCGTGGCCCATGGGTGCAGGCGGGATGGGGGCGGGGGGTGGCGTTTTGCATCGGATAATGTCTCAATTAGCGTATCCAGGTTGACGCTTCTCCCGGTGTCCTTTTTGATGGATCGATCCGGGGGCTCGCCGAAATAAATCGTGCAGTCGGGAGTCACCGGCGCACAGTGGATCGAGTCAAAAGGAGAGGTCGGACAAAATTTGGACACGTTAAACGCTTATAACTCCGTTAATACGAAACTTTGAGGTTCTAAAAGTGGTTCCATTGGTTCCCTGTGAAATAAAGATGTTGCATGTGAGAGGAATTCGCGATTTGACCATTGATTCTTATGAAAAAGTTCGCGAGAAACACGATGGTGCCACTGGTTTTCTCTGAAATCATCTCCCAAGCTCAAAAAAAGCTCTCAAAGTGAGGCCAAAATGGAGGGGATATCCCACCCTACCCTGAGAGTCCGCTTCTACACTGAGAAAAAGCTATGGTTTATAAATCTATTAGTGGTAAATATGGAACACCTATAATAGTCGTAAATAAACTAATGATTCTCGGTCTGTGAACCATACTAAGGTCTCTGTACCTAATTAAGGTACAGAGACCATAACTAAGGTATATGTGCTATTATTATATGTAGAGGTACTACTATTAGTGGTGTTCCATATTTACCTCTAATAGGTTTATAAGCCATAGTTTTTTCTCAGTGTACATCAAAACAAACCCTCCTTGCAAAGATAGGGAGCAAGTACATTAGCAGGGTTACCGTGTTTTCAGTTTTAGAGTCCCCAAAAACAGTGGCAGCCCTGTCAATGTATTTGCTCCCTATCTTTGCAAAGAGAATTTGTCTTGATGTAGAGGTGGACTCTCAGGATAGCGTGGGATATCCCCTCCATTTCGGCCTCAACTTGAGAGCTTTTTTGAGCTTGGGAGATGATTTCAGAGAAAACCAGTGGCACCATCGTGTTTCTCGCGAACTTTTACATAAGAATCAACAGTCAAATTGCAAATTCCTCACACATGCAACATCTCCATTGTCTTTAAGTAGCACCCCTTGAACCTTAAAATGTGGCGAATTAAACATAAAAATTCGCAGTTTATGCCAAAAATGACAAGTCCGACCTCTCTAATTGACTCGATCCACTGTGCGGCGCTCCTCGTGTTGGTCGTTAATGATTCGCGCAAATAACTTTTAACGAGGGTCAATGTTTGAACTTACGATCGCTGCGCACCGTGGAAATGACCGTGTGAGTTATTTATTTAGTGCCTCGGTCAAAACGGCGCTGATCACTACCGTTTTGAGGAAAGTCAGCGGGCCGATTATTGAAATGTATAGACAAAGCTATAGACAAAAAAGACATAAGGAGCAATCTTATTGGTTGAATTGAGTGGTTCGTATAGACTGAGGGGGTAAATGATGGACTTACTATCGGGTCTCTCGTGGGTTGCCGTTAGTTGGTCTAATACCCACGTCCTTTTGTCCATTGCAACAACCCGCTTCCACCAATAGGATCCCTCTATATCCTTTTTGTCTCCTCTGTCTATTGCTTTGTCTATCAATTTGACTATCGCCTGATTCAATAGCGACTTTAATTATTAAACCGTTAATTGGCATCCTTGCGGGGATGTCATGTCGAGGAGCATCAGGCTGAGTGTCATGTCAGTCGGACACCGATCTCCCCTATGACGCCGAAATAATTGAATGATTCCGCCCAACGGCAGTGCAGGCGCTGTCGAATCTAACATGCAGCGATGCCGAATGGGCTAAATTGAAACGTTGAATCTTGGCTTAATCATGAGAATGATCAACGAATTAAGAAAACTGAGTTACGACGGATAAAATTACGCAGAGGATTCGGTAAACTAAAAAGATCAACCAAAAATCCTCCAATTTTAGTTTTAATTGACCAAGAACTCATCAAACCCCTTTTTAATCTTGCTTTTCAACATGCTTTTATCTCTTAAATTCAAACCTCACCTTAAAAATTCGGTTCACTTTTGATGCGTCTATTTTCTTAGAGCAGTAGGTACATTAGCAGAGAGCACTTAAGATATGAAGTAGATAAAGAAAATCCGCTATCTCTCGGCAGCCCAGGAGCGAAATTTTTAAAATGCATCGATTGCGCTTGATGAATTGTTGTCAGTGCGCCCATGATACTTTTTTTTGTCTTCCTTTTTTTTCATTTTTGTTTTAATTTCATTTTTACTGGCCTCGATAGTTTTTAAGAAGAAAAGAAAAATTATTTAAAAATCCACCCTCACTGTTACAAACAGATTCTCTTTGATATCCGTTTGGAGTTTTAGAATCCTCATCATAATAGTCGGTTGCGTACATCTCATAAATTTCAAAATGAAGGAAGATTTCAAAGAGCCCCCATAGAGGCAGAGGCGGATCCAGCAATTCGGCAACACCGAATTTCCTCCATTTAAACCTATGTTAAATAATCGATTACTGTCGGAGCGCCTGGCCCCTCCAAGAGTCGATTCATTTTCGTAGGTTCAAATGGAGAAAAATAATGTTGCCAATTTGCCGGATCCGCCAATGGGTAGAGCCGTATCGGAATAATCGGGAGTTTTGGTGTTCCGTTCGGCAGAAATATGTCCGATTGACAACTTCAGATGGCACATGAGGCGTTTTTCTTGTGCACGGCAGGACGCAGACGAACCCCGAAAGCCAGTGGCAAGGCGCGTGAATAATCGAATGTCAATATTTCCTCATTTGAAGCTGTAGTGAAGAATCGATTATTAAGGTGTTCATCGCGAACACCCTGTTCATCGATCCTTTTCCATAGGTTTAAATGGCAGATCAATCGATGTACCGCAAAGCACGCCACGGCACTGCCGAAAACGCGCTGGACACGATGCGATCGAACACGTTGAGCTCTAATGAGTAGGGCCGCGGCGAACGTCTATTAGTCAAATCGTCGCTCCTCTGACGTAAGGGCGTGACTCGATTTCGACATGAGCCCTAGTAAGCATGGAGTTATATGGACAACAGGGTTCACGTGGAAATTGAGATACGCCCTTACGTCAGAGGAGCGACGAAATGTAGCACACGGGGACGGATCGGGAGTGGGTTACGAGCGCCCGGCAGAAACGACTTATCCGCCCGTGGTGGAGATGCCATGTTCCGCGTTTTTGCCGCATCGAGGGACCGCGTAGCAAGTTCGATCGGCCCGTCACAAGCTGTCCGAGAGGATGTAGTTTTAAATATTCAAAATTCCGGGGCATTAATCCGCTTGCACTTCGTCCTGTCGCTGGATTGGATTCCCCACTTGGACTACCGACTCTCAGGAACAATTCGAGCTATTTGAGTTTCCGCTATGGTGCT